CCCTCCACCACACCTCCACCACACCCTCCACCACACCCTCCACCACGCCTCCGCCACGCCTCCAACACGCCTCCACCACACCCTCCACCACGCCTCCATCACGCCTGCACCACACCTCCACCACGCCTCCACCACGCCTCCACCCCACCCTCCACCACGACTCCATCACGCCTGCACCACGCCTGCACCACGCCTCTACCACACCTGCACCACGCCCTCCACCACACCTCCACCATGCCTCCACCACGCCTCCACCACGCCTCCACCACACCTCCACCACGCCTCCATCACGCCTCCACCACGCCTCCATCACACCTCCACCACGCCTCCACCACACCCTCCACCACGCCTCCATCACGCCTGCACCACGCCTCCACCACACCTCCATCACGCCTGCACCACGCCTCCACCACGCCTCCACCACACCTCCACCACACCTCCACCACGCCTCCATCACGCCTGTACCACGCCTCCACCACGCCTCCACCACACCTCCAGCACGCCTCCACCACACCTCCACCACGGTGCCTCCACCACACCTGCACCACACCCTCCACCACGCCTCCACCAAACCTCCACCACACCTGCACCACGCCCTCCACCACACCTCCACCATGCCTCCACCACGCCTCCATCACGCCTCCACCACGCCTCCACCACGCCTCCATCACGCCTCCACCACGCCTCCACCACACCCTCCACCACGCCTCCATCACGCCTGCACCACGCCTCCACCACGCCTCCATCACGCCTGCACCACGCCTCCACCACGCCTCCACCACGCCTGTACCACGCCTCCACCACGCCTCCACCACGCCTCCAGCACGCCTCCACCACACCTCCACCACGCCTCCACCACACCTGCACCACACCCTCCACCACACCTCCACCAAACCTCCACCACGCCCTCCACCACGCCTCCACCACACCTCCATTACGCCTCCACCACGCCTCCACCACGCCTCCACCACGCCATCCACCACGCCTCCACCACGCCTCCATCACGCCTGCACCACGCCTCCACCACACCTCCACCACGCCTCCACCACACCTCCACCACACCTCCATCACGCCTGCACCACGCCTCCACCACACCTCCACCACGCCTCCATCACACCTGCACCCCCACCACGCGCCGGGACACGAGGCAGCTCCGATGCACTGTGTGAGGTTATTTTAAACAGCAAGATTGCCAGCAAAAATGCGAAGAATGGGGCACTCGATGGGGCACAGAAGAGACATGGGCAGCGGGGCACGAGACGGCGCCAAGTTCTCGCCTGGCTGGAGCCTCGTGGGCCACTGACTAAATTTTGTCACCCCGTGTCTGCCCGGAACCACAAAAGAGCTCAGATACCGGGCCGGGCGTGGCGCAGAGCACCGGCTGGACGGCACTGGCCCCCGGCGCCAGCCCAAGCGTTGCCAGGCTTAGCAGTTGATTCAGCCGGTTGCGGACAGCACAGAGGGCCTGCTGACACAGAGTCCCGCCTGGTGCGCCTCTGCTCCGGAGGGCTCAGCGTGTTTGGAGGTGGAGGGAGGAGGAGGAGCCCTCCCAGCCCAGCCTGAGAAGCCCGGCCTGATGCGGCCTCCACCCGTCAGGAAGCACACATGTCTCCTCCCCATTCTCACTCGGCCCCGAGCGTCTGAGCAGGCCGGCGGACGGGCACCGGGGTTCCTGGGCCCCCGGAGCGGGCGTGCGCGGGGAGTTCGGCCCGACGTGGGGCCATGGCTGCTAGTGTTTGCATGAGCATTTCCTGGGATGTACGCGCCACACCACCCCTTGCTCACCAGCCTCCCTCCCCCCTGCAGAAACATCCTCAGCCTCATCGATGAGTTTGATTTCCCGGAGCAGAGCATCTCCAGGGACGACTACCCAACCGTGCTCACGCACCTGAACGCCACCTGTCCAGAGAGAGTGGCCCGGCTCCACCTGAGGGCCTGCCAGCTGGAGGACTTCCTGGATAAGGTAGTGTTTGGTGGAGAAGGTAGTGGAAGTGGCGTGGAAGGACGGAGGCTGTGTGCGTGGGACGGGCGGGGGCGGGGGAGGGCTGTGCCCGAGACGGGGGCCTGTGCGGGACAGGCGGGGGCAGGGGAGGGCTGTGCCCGAGACGGGGGCCTGTGCGGGACAGGTGGGGGCGGGGGAGGGCTGTGCCCGAGACGGGGGCCTGTGCGGGACAGGTGGGGGTGGGGGAGGGCTGTGCCCGGGATGGGGGCCTGTGCGGGACAGGCGGGGGCGGGGGAGGGCTGTGCCCGGGATGGGGGTCTGTGCGTGGGATGGGCGGGGGCGAGGGAGGGCTGTGCCCGGGATGGGGGTCTGTGCGGGACAGGCGGGGGCGGGGGAGGGCTGTGCCCGGGATGGGGGTTTGTGCGGGACTGGTGGGGGGCGTGGGATGGGGGGGCCATGTGTGGGACGGGAGCCTGCGCGGGACAGATGGGCCATGTGTGGGATGGGGAGCTGCGTGCGGAACGGGGTGGGCCTCGTGCGGGATGGGGGCTGCGTGTGGGACAGGAGCCTGCGCAGGACTAGGGAGCTGTGCACAGGATGGGGCCATGTGTGGGACGGGGGGCCGCGTGTGGGACGGGGGCCGTGTGTGGGACAAGGCGGTGTGCGGGACGGGGGGCTGTGTGCGGGACGGGGGATGGTGTGCGGGACGGGGGGCGGTGAGCGGGATGGGGGGGCTGTGTGCAGGACGGGGGGTGGTGTGCGGGATGGGGGCTGTGTGTGGGATGGGGGGTTGTGCGGTATTGGGGGGGCTGCGTGTGGGACGGGGGGCTGTATGTCAGATGGGGGGCTGCATGTGGGACAGGAGGCTGTGTGCAGGAGGACAGGAAGCACGCAGGGTCAGTCTGGCAGAAAATGACTCAGAGGAACGTTTCTCACAGATCCAAGCCCAGGCTCGGCCGAGAGGTGGTGAACACCATCTGCCTTGAGGCCTAGGCTGGCCGAGGGAGCCAGTGCCACCGGGCACAGACCCCAGGGACAGCCACTGCTCAGGTGGCAGAGCCCCGTGGGCTCCTGGGACCCGGAGCCCCGGGCGGGGACGGCGGCAGGAGGCTGGTCCTCACGCCGTGTGTCACGCTGGCCTCCGTGTGTCACGCTGGCCTCCGGAGTCTGGGAACCACTCACCGGCTCCCGCGCCCCTCGCTCATGCCCCTTCCCCCAGCGCAAACCCGAGGCCAGCTCACTCCTGCAACCCTAGCCTCTCAGGGGATGAGATCTGAGCCAGACCAGGCAGCAAGGCTCCGGAGACTCCGGCCACCACTCAACCAGCACAGAGCTGAAGTGGAGCTGTGGCTCCATGGCCACACACCAGCCTTGAGCATAAAAGCCAAGTGAGAGTGTGAGAGTCTGAGATCTAGCCCCAGAAGAAAGGAAAAAGAAGGAAAGAAAGGAGGGAGGGAGGGGAGGGAAGAAGGGAGGGAGGGAGGGAAGGAGGGAAGGAAGGAAGGAAAGGGAGGGAGGGAGGGAGGACAGATCTGTGGTTTGCCCCAGTGCACGTATGCGGTAAGCAGGAGCCTGTGTGGCTTGGCTGTGTCCGCACACGTGGTCAGGGTGTGTGCATGTGTGCGGTGTGGGAGCCCGTGTGGCGTGGTCAAGGCGTGTGCATGTGTGCAGTGACTAGGTGCCCGTGTGGCATGAGCAGGGTGTGCGCACGTGTGTGGTGAGCAGGTGCCCGTGTGGTGTGGTCATGGTGTGTGCACATGTGTGGGGTGGGAGCCCGTGTGGCGTGGGCAGGGTGTGTGCACGTGTTTGGGGTGGGAGCCCGTGTGGCGTGGTCAGGGCGTGTGCATGCGTGTGGTGAGCAGGAACCCATGTGGCACGGGCAGGGCGTGTGCATGTGTGTGGTGTAGGTGCCGTGAGGCGCGGGCAGGGCATGTGCATGCGTGTGGGGTGGGAGCCCGTGTGCTGTGGTCAGGGCGTGTGCACGCGTGTGGTGTAGGTGCCGTGTGGCACGGGCAGGGCGTGTGCACGCGTGTGGTGTAGGTGCCGTGTGGCGCGGGCAGGGCGTGTGCACGCGTGTGGTGTAGGTGCCGTGAGGCGCGGGCAGGGCGTGTGCACGCGTGTGGTGTAGGTGCCGTGAGGCGCGGCGTGTGCTGTGGTCAGGGCGTGTGCACGCGTGTGGTGTAGGTGCCGTGTGGCGCGGGCAGGGCGTGTGCACGCGTGTGGTGTAGGTGCCGTGAGGCGCGGGCAGGGCGTGTGCACGCGTGTGGTGTAGGTGCCGTGAGGCGCGGGCAGGGCGTGTGCATGCGTGTGGTGTAGGTGCCGTGAGGCGCGGGCAGGGCGTGTGCATGCGTGTGGTGTAGGTGCCGTGAGGCGCGGGCAGGGCATGTGCATGCATGTGGGGTGGGAGCCCGTGTGCTGTGGTCAGGGCGTGTGCACGCGTGTGGTGTAGGTGCCGTGTGGCGCGGGCAGGGCGTGTGCACGCGTGTGGTGTAGGTGCCGTGTGGCACGGGCAGGGCGTGTGCGTCTGAGTGCCCCCTGTGCTGCAGAGTGCGTCAGGCCCGGGCCTGGCCTTCCTGGTCTTCACGGAGGCTGTGCTGCACATGCCGGGCGCCTCTGCCTGGGCCGTGCTCTTCTTCGGCATGCTCTTCACCCTGGGCCTGTCCTCCATGTTCGGGAACATGGAGAGTATCATCACGCCTCTCCTGGACATGGGCATCTTGCCCAGAAGAATCCCAAAGGAGGGCCTGACGGGTGAGTGGAGGCGTGGACGCAGGGGCCTGGCCCCTGGCAGGTTCTTGGCCCGCTGCCCACACGGGGCCTCTAGACACAGAACCCCAGGGGCCTCGCCTGGACCGCGCGGGGGGGGGGGGCTGGGCCGACTGCTCTGTGTGGTGGGGACACCATGGGCCAACTCAGGAGTCCAGGGCAGGGCGGGGGCTTTCCCTCCCACATGCCCATGGGGTCCTTCCTGCCCCAGGAGACAGGGAGCGACGGCCAGAGGCTGGGGTGGCCCCCGGGGGGCATCCCCCAGACCCCGAGCCCCTCACCTGTGACCCCAGCCCACCCCGCACCCACCTCCAGGGCTGGTGTGCCTGGCGTGCTTCCTCTGCTCCACCTGCTTTGTGCTGCAGTCCGGAAGCTACTGGCTGGAGATCTTCGACAACTTTGTGGCATCTCTGAACCTGCTCATCTTCGCCTTCTGCGAGGTGGTCGGCGTCATCTATGTCTACGGGATGAAGCGGTGAGCCGCCCCTCCCCTCGAGCTGCACCCCCCCACGGCTCACACCCCCAAGCACACGGATAGGGTTCCCAGGCCGGGGCTGAGCCGGGCTGGCTTCCCGGGCCTGAGGGCGGCCTGTCGAGCGTCCTGTGTGGCAGGTTCTGTGATGACATCGAGTGGATGACCGGCCGGCGGCCCAACCTGTACTGGCGGGTGACATGGTGGGTGGTGAGCCCCCTCCTGCTGCTCAGCATCTTCCTGTCCTGTGTCGTCCTCCTGGCCCAAAGGCCGCCCCGCTACAAGGCCTGGAACCCCCAATATGTAGGTCTTCTGGTGGAATGTGGGGTTCTTGTGTCCTGGCCCCCACAGGGCCACTCAGGGCTGTATACCCCCACGTGGACAGGCCTCTGACAGCCTGGCCTGGCCACGCGGGGCGAGGGGCGCTGGGGTGGCCTGCCACGCGGGGCGAGGGGCGCTGGGGTGGCCTGGCCACGCGGGGTGACCGGGCGCTTGGGTGTGCACAGCAGGCGTGGCCGAGGCCCAAGGCTGGGGCGCTCCAGCCTGCTCTCATCTCAGGAGTGGGAGTGAAGCTGCAGTGTGCTGCAGCGTGCTTGTGGGCAGCCTCCTCCCAGGGCTGGGGCTGGCTCCTCCCAGGGCCCTCGAGCATGGCGCGCAGTCTCTGCAGGGCAGGTCCGGGCTGGGGCATCCGGCCCAGCCCCACAGTGCCCCTCCTGTCTCTGCAGGTGCAGTTCCCCTTGCGGGAGGAGAAGCTGTACCCAGGCTGGGTGCTGGCTACCTGTGTGCTCCTGGCCTTCCTGCCCATCCTGTGGGTCCCCACCATCGCGCTGGCCCAGCTGCTGGCCAGGCGCCGACAGAGGACGGACACACAGCCAGCCACCAGCCCGAAGCCATAACATGTGGGGCCTGCGGAGGGAGCGGGCTGGGGGGGGGGGGGCGCTCCTGGCGTGTGGTTGCTTAGATCAATACATGTTCTCTACCACCATGCCGTGTTCCCACTGACTCCCCAGCTCACCCTCAGCACACAGCAGTCTCCAGAGATTCACAGGGCCCAGGACACCATGTCCAGCCCTGAGTCCTGAGCATCTGGAGAACCTGGGGGTGGTGGGGCGCTTGCTACCCCTGGGAATCCACGGCAGCTGGGGTGGCACTCACAATGGTGACATGCAGAGCTGGGAACTCATTGTAGGTGTGAGACCTCCATGTCACGAGTCATAGGAATCTGACCCTAGGCTGATCTCCAAGAAAAGGGCTGAGCTAAAATATGTAGGCCCTGGGCACAAAGAAGCCCTGGCAGAGACCCACCTGGGCTCACCACCTCTGAGGGGAGCGAGGTCCAGACGATTCAGACAACCTTCCCACCTTCCCATCAGGAATCAGCCAAGTCGTGAGAGTATGAAGAACAAATGCGGTGGTGCCATTTTTATTTTCTCAATGCTCATTTTAGTCAAGAAAGCATAAAAGGCAGGCAAGGGGGCTTAGGAGGCGTCCGAAGTGAGAAAGACCACTTCTCAACCCACAGCTGGCACCGCGCCATGCGGGGGGCTGACACCGGCAGGATGCGGTCTGAGGTGAACCCCAGAAGAGTCCACGAGACTCCATCTCCACGGAAGGAGAGCTGCACGTGATCCCAAAACACCTGGTGTGGGCAGCCCCTGGCTCTGAGCCATCCTCAGCGGGAGATCCTCGCTAGTGTCCCGTCACCCGAGAAGCTCCAGTCCCTCCAAGAGCAAAAGGCGATGCCGGGTGCCGCTGGTTCATGCCTGAACCCTCTGCTCAGGAGGCTGAGAGCTGAGGCTTGAGGTTCAAAGCCAGCCCGGGAAAGTCCATGAGCCTCCTATCTCCAGTTACCACCTGAAAACTAGAAGTGGCGCTGTGGCTCAAGTGGTAGAGGACCAGCCTTATGTGAAAGAGCTCAGGGACAGCGCCCAGGCCCTGAGTTCAAGTCCCATGACCAACCAAAAAGAAGTCTGTCCAGTCAAGGGGTGACACTGGCTCGCCACGCCAGTCCTCCGCAGTGGACTTCAGACCCCTGCGGAGGCTCAGCCCCCGGGTTGTGTGCCTGGCACCCACACGCCTCCTCCCTTCCCCCACCCCAGCAGCAGTGTGGACCAGCCGCAGCTCTAAAGCAGGGGGTGTTGGACATGGAACCCACATCCACCCATGGCTTCTGGTGGCCAGAAAAGCTTCGAGCAGGCCCTGGTACCTCATAAAAAATGAACTGGTAATGTGGTGCTGGCCATAGTGCTGAACACCCAAGCTAGCTCGGCATCACCATGAGGTGGGATATTGGCTTGGATAGTGTCACCGTGTGGTGGGATATTGGGCTTGCTTCGTGTAGTGAGCCATCCTTGCCACGGACAGCTCAGACCCTAAACAAAGCCAACCGAAGTGCCCTGCAAGTGACCCAGCACTCCAGCTCATGCTCCCCACACCTGTCACAAGGGACAGCAGTGGACGCAGCAGAGGCCCACGTCCATCGAGAGGTGGAGGACAGCAGTGGATGCAGCAGAGGCCACGCCCATCGAGAGCAGAGGCCACGCCCATCGAGAGCAAAGGCCACGCCCATCGAGAGATGGAGGACAGCAGTGGATGCAGCAGAGGCCACGCCCATCGAGAGCAGAGGCCACGCCCATCGAGAGATGGAGGACAGCAGTGGATGCAGCAGAGGCCACGCCCATCGAGAGCAGAGACCACACCCATCGGGAGCAGAGGCCACACCCATCGAGAGGTGGAGCAGAGGCCACGCCCATCGAGAGGTGGAGCAGAGGCCACGCCCATCGAGAGGTGGAGCAGAGGCCACGCCCATCGAGAGATGGAGGACAGCAGTGGATGCAGCAGAGGCCACACCCATCGGGAGCAGAGGCCACGCCCATCGAGAGGTGGAGCAGAGGCCACGCCCATCGAGAGGTGGAGGACAGCAGTGGACACAGCAGAGCCCACTGTACAGTGGATACAGAACGCAGGTGGGTGCGGTGAGCTCAGCCTCTCGGCTGCCCCGCGAGAACTCAGAGACGGCTATCACCACCAGCCCGTCTTTCCTCAGCCACAACCAACTGAAAACGAACTGAAAGCAGAGGACAGCCACTGGCTCTAGGAGCTGGCTACACCCAAAGATGGACTTCAGGCATAGTGAGACCCCGCCCATGGAACTCTCCAGAACCGGCATCCAGGCATCACTCTTGGCTGGGGCTCTCTGTGCTCCCTTCTCTAGTATCTAACCGTAAAACAGGAGCTGGACAGGCTGGTCCAGAACAGGAGGAAGCTCGTACCATGGCTTGCTGCAAGAGGGAGGCCACAGGAAGTGGACACTGTTCCCCCAAGAAAGTTCTAGATGAGGAAGGGCTGCAGGCCCCACCTGTGTGCACGGGTGTGCGGCCCCCTCTGGAGGTGGAGCCTGCATGCGCCCAGCCTGGACACTCTGCTCTGGCCCGACGCCAGGCCGCGGCGTGTGGACGGCTGGGGGCTGAGTGGTGAGCCCAGGTCACAGCCACATCACAAACCAGGACGGGCCTCCTGACACCTGTGTGGCACGCGTGCCCCACGCCAGGCCAGCACGCACCACTCCACAGATTCACCTCCCCGGAAGATGGACAGGAGGTGGCCCCACAGGTGACTGAGACATAGACAGATGGACAGGAGGTGGTCCCATAGGTGACTGAGACACAGAAGTTGGTCCAAAACCCAGCAGATGCCTGCCCACCCAACATGCAAATGGCTCGGGGTCAGTAGCTGACTCCTCAGGAGCTGGGAGCCGGTACCCGGCCACCACTCAGGGAGGTGGACAAGGCTGCCCAGGGAACGGGCCTGAGCCGTGGCCACCCTCATGTGTAAAGCGCCATCAACATGCCCGAGCCGCGGGTCGCTCCGTCCCAGAGCTTCAGTGCCGACTTGGAAACGCACCACTGCAGATGCGTGTTTGCTCAGGACGCACACAGCCCCCCCCGCCCCCCTCCGGCCACACATGCTCTCTCCACCCCGCCAGGTACCTCCCCTCCCCCCAGCTCCGTTCTCTAAGGCTAGCATTGTCTGGAGGTGACTAAACCCAGGGATCACGGGTAACTCCTCGTCCCAGTGTCGAATATGTCCACTGCTGTACGGAAGCGGACTCTTCCCGCCAGGAAGACCTTGGCCCATGGCTGAGAACCGTGAGCCTTGTTAGATGGGCGGCGGACGCCCGACTGCCCTTTGGGCCACACAAGCCCTGTCCTCAGCGGTGTGAGGTTAAGGGCAGACCAAGCTGCAGCGGGCAGCGGCCACACTCGGAAGGCACCAGACGGAAATGGCCCTCCTCCACCCACAGCACGCTCCAGCGGTGGAGGTGTGCCACTGGCCTGGGCCCCCGTCAGACGGCATCCAGCCTGAGGACGGTGCCCAGAAACCCACCCAAGCCAGCAGGAGCCTCTGGCCTCTGCAGGCCACGGCTCAATCGGCATGGGTGACTGGTACGTGGAGTCGTGCCCAGGCCTCTGGCCCCAGTGCTGCCCGGCGGAAGCCACGAGCAGTCCACGCAGGCGTCAGGTCTCGCTCTGAGAACCAGTCCTGTGTTGTCTGCTGCTGCACCGAATCACTGAAACTGGCTTATACCAAGGAGCTCCGGGCTGTGCCCCCACCGGCCGGCATGGGGCGTGGGCAGGCTGACCCCTCACTGTGTCTGCTCACAAGCATCCCTTCACACCCCAAATCGTAGGCTTGGCCCTTCCAAAGACTCCTGGCAGTCTTTCTCATAGCCTAGTTGTCCAACTTCCTTCTCTTCCAGCCCTAGGACACCAGACCCTGCCATGCAATCCAGGATGGCAACTTCATCCATGAGCTGCCTGAACGCCCCTCTGCCCGTCCCCCTCCCCCCACGGGTCCTGGCGTCCGGGGAGCATTGCTCTGCCCAGCTCAGGCTGTGGGAGGCTCAGGAGCTGCTCAGGGTGCACAGCATCGAGCCAGGGGGCTGGCACTGAGCCAGCATCCTTGGCAGGCAGAGGGGAAGGCTACCAAGGACAAGCCTCCTCGCCTGGCACCACTGGGGACTGGGCTCCACCCTTACCCAGTCTGAATTATTGTTCCACACACACATCTGGGGAATCAGCGTGAACAAGCTGCAGCCTACGATGTAGGGGAACACCAAAACCACATTTTCTTTCCTTGCGTGTGGTGAGTTTTTCTGGTGGTTAATTAGAGATTCATCTCCTGGACTTTTCTGCTTTGAATGGGCTTCAAACCCCATCTCTCAGATCTTGGCTCCTCAGCTAGGATTTTTTTTTCCAGGCAGAAGTATTGGGGGAGAGCACACTGCACAAGACGGAATGTGCAGGCGGGCGAGGGAGGAGGAGGAGGAAGGGGAGAGCCCGGCCTGCCAGGTGCGCATGGGATGGAATGTGCAGTGAGGAGGAGGAGGAGGAGGAGAAGGAGGAGGAGGAAGGGGAGAGCCCGGCCTGCCAGGCGTGCATGAGATGGAATGCACAGTGAGGAGGAGGAGGACGAGGACGAGGATGAAGGGGAGAGCCCAGCCTGCCAGGTGCGCATGGGATGGAATGCGCAACGGCTCACAACAAGACTGGGTTTATGTAGGAAGAGGGGGAGTGGCCATGACGGACCTCAGAGCCTGGGAACTTCCATGGCCAAAGGAGGCATGGCCAGGGTGGTCCAGAAGTGACCTCAGAGGAAGCGGCTCCCAAGGAAGTGAGCTCCCTCAGAGCCCGGGAAGGGTGGTCCCGAAGTGAGCTGCCTCAGAGCCCCGGAAGGGTGGTCCAGAAGTGAGCTCCCTCAGAGCCCGGGGCCGCCCACTGTCCCCAGGTGTGCTGTTACCTGGACAGACACGGCACGGACTTCTAGGGAGGGACACGTACATGGAAAGAAAACAAGGGCCCGTTTTCCTGGGCGGAACTAACATTCCAGCCCTTTGACAGTTATAGAGGGGGTGCAGATTCTCCCTGGCTACTTTTGCTGGCAAGGGGCGTCGACATTAGGGGTAGAAGACATAGATGTCACCCATTCCGAAGGCAGCAGTAACAGTTCCTTGGTGGTGAGCGTGGGTATAGATGACATCTGAAAGAAATCTTACAAGGCAGGGGCTGAGCAATAAGAAAAAATGTTATTAGAGGGCGCACTAACGGCAGAAGGAAGGGTTCAGGGAAGAAAATTAGAAATTAGACGGTGCGCTAGTTCCTATCTCCTACATTCCAGGTGGCCCTAGAGTTGGAGGAAAATAACCCTAGCTGACATCTGGGGACTAGATGGGGAGAGCATCAGAGTAACCAGTCAGAAGCTGGGCTGGACTGGAGTGCTTGCAGGCCCGGTGTGCGGCCGGGAGCATTCCCTCCAACGGGACTGTAGATGTCTGGATTAGAGTATGGATGGAGACCCAGAAATGCACCAAGGCAAACTGTCCTGAGGCTAGGACTCACCAGCTTTGACTGTGATCCTCTGATCAAAGGAGCCTTTTAGCACAAGACCCTTTTTATTCCCAACTGAAGCAACAAGATCAACAGAAATAGTTGTTTGTTTTTGGGGGGTCCGGTTGTGGGGCCTAAACACTGGCCTGGGCGCTGTCCCTCAGCTCTTCAGGTCAAGGCTAGCACTCTACCACTTGAGCCACAGCACCACTTCCGGCTTTTTTCTTTTTTCATGTGGTGCTGAGGAATCGAACCCAGGGCCTCAGGCATGCAAGGCAAGTGCTCTACCACTGAGCCACCTTCCCAGCCCCAACAGAAATAGGTTTAAAACAGGGTTTACCTGGAACTTGTTAAGAACAGAAGTTTTCCAATACATACAAGAGTTATTTATCCCTCTGTGGGGCTAAATGCTGCAGAGCACTAAAACCTGTAATGACAAAACTCACTGCATAGAGCACTTTAGGATACTACTTAAGATTGAAGCCAGCGTTGCGTCCAAGCAGCTTGCACACTTGGGAAACAGATGTTAAGACATGTTCGTGTGCACCCAAATCTGATGAGCTTCTTTGTGGCTTGAGTTTAAAACTGCCCTCCCCACCAAAGGCCAGTTACCAAAGGCCTTTAAAACGATTTTGGTAAAGAGACTCACTAGCATATAAACTGGCCTTTGAACACTTACTAGAAGGGTGAGGGTGTGATCATGAAAACTCAACTTGTGGTCAAGATGGAGAACTTCTGGACAAGTCAAGACAGTAAGAAAACCTGGCAGAGCTTCACTAAGTAAGCAAGCAGCAAGGCAGGGGCACACAGTAAGAGTGTGGGCGATCTCCAGGCAAGTTTTAGCTAAGAAAATTCAAGCCCAGGACAGCTAGCCTTCAAGAGGGGGCTCTCTGTGGCTCACCTTCAAAGGCACAAGCAGAGGGGGGAGGGAGGGAGGAAGCTGAACTACAAGACAAGTTACCTCTGGAGAGGAGATGGCCAGGAGGCCTGGGAGGCAGGAGGCAGAGGATGAGCAGGAAAGCCTGAATGTACAGAACCTCTGGCCATCGACCACTGGGCTAGCAGAAACTGCGGCAATAAAAGCAAGGCATTTTGACTTTATGGAGTCCTTGAAAATGTAGGAGACACCTCAAAGGAGTGTCCCAGCTCAATAGGGAACAAGAAACACAGGAGGGAGGCTGGTCAGTGTAGAGGCTATGAATGGAAGGTGTCCCTGTCTACCCAGAATTACACTCAATTTAGACATCCCGGAAATGGGAAGCAACTGGCCAAACATGCATAGGAGATCTTTCTGGCATGGTGCCAGAGAGAGAGAGACAGACAGACAGACAGAGAGAGAGAGTCAGAGGGCCTGTAGGAAGTCACCAGCCAGAAGCAGGGGGATGGTGTGGTGGATACACACCCAGCCAAGGCCAAGGTGATTAGTCCAGTGTGGAGCTCCCTTAGCTTCCAGGCCCGTGGAGGTGTGACCAGGAGGCAAATTAAGTCAGAGACCGTGGAGGGAATTCAGCGACTCCTGGCGCTATCCTATTACTCCGGTGGAGTCTGCTTAGCATGGGAAACCAGCTTTCAGATCAGAGAATGGGGCTTCAGAGACCTATCTCTGAGTATTGGGACTTCACCGAAGTCTACCTCGGAGAATGGGGCTTCACAGAGGCCTACCTCCTGGAAAGGCTGGCAAACCCCTGGGAAAGATGTGTTTCTGCCTTTCTTTTCCTCACTGTATAAGAGTGCCTATTAATCTTTTACTGTTTCTGCTGTTCATCGTACTTACTCATTGTCAACGTTCCCAGCTGGTGACCACCCAAGAATGAAGCCCTGCAGCAAGATTGTGTAAACTTTTGCCCTTTCTTATGGAGACTTTTTGCTATAAAAGTTTGTTATCCTCTACATTAAATCGCACTCAGCATCCACTCCTCTTGTGTGTGAGTTGTCTGTTTGCCATCTCCCCACCTATTCCAGTTCCTCCCCTAGGTGTCCTCCGTCGTCCCGACAGAGCTGGTCCGTGGCACACACCATGATGTAGGTTCGGCCCAAAGGACACCACCATGATCCAGGCAGAAGAGTTTAAGCCGGGTGCCAGTGGCTCACGTCTGTAATCCTAACTGCTTTAGAAGGCTGAAATCTGAGGATGGCAGTGCAAAGCCAGCCTGGGAAGGAAAGTCTGTGAGACTCATGTCCGATAACCATCAGAACACCAGAGGAGGCGCTGGGGCTCAAGTGGTAGAGCGCTCGCCTTGAGCGGAAGAGTGCAGGGACAGTGCCCAGGCCCAGAGTTCAAGCCCCACCACTGACAGAGACAGAGAAAGGGGGGGAGTTTATTGGGGAGAGCATACTGCGGGCCTGCACAGGTGGAGGGTACAGGGTGCAAGGGGGAGGGGAAGAGGGGGAGGGGAAGGGACAAGCCCAGCCTGCTGCTGCGGGAGAGGCCAGCTGTTTTCTTCCTTTTGTTCAGCTTGGCCCTGAGGGCATCTGACAGCTGCCAGAGGTTTAAACACATAACCCAGAGCTTCATACTTTGAGTGATATCAGAGCAAGTTCCCTTTAAGGGCTAAATGCTGCGGTAGACCCACAAGTGGTAAAAACCAGGTAAATCACACTAGGTTAGTCAGGATGTGGGGGCTAGAGCATCACCGCACGCCAGGCCCGACAGAGCGGCTGACTGTGCACCACCGACCCCATCCATCACTGCAAGGCCAGCGGAGGCCCCGCACCACCCACCCCATCCATCTGCAGCCCCAGGGAGGCCCCGCACCACCCACCCCATCCATCTGCAGCCCCAGGGAGGCCCCGCACCACCCACCCCATCCGTCTGCAGCCCCAGGGAGGCCCCGCACCACCCACCCCATCCATCACTGCAGCCCCAGGGAGGCCCCGCACCACCCACCCCATCCATCTGCAGCCCCAGGGAGGCCCCGCACCACCCACTCCATCCATCACTGCAACCCCAGGGAGGCCCCGCACCACCCACCCCATCCGTGTGCAGACCAAGGGAGGCCCCGCACCACCCACCCCATCCATCTGCAGCCCCAGGGAGGCCCCGCACCACCCACCCCATCTGTCTGCAGCCCCAGGGAGGCCCCGCACCACCCACCCCATCTGTCTGCAGCCCCAGGGAGGCCCCGCACCACCCACCCCATCCGTCTGCAGCCCCAGGGAGGCCCCGCACCACCCACCCCATCCGTCTGCAGCCCCAGGGAGGCCCCGCACCACCCACCCCATCTGTTTGCAGACCCAGGGAGGCCCCGCACCACCCACCCCATCCATCTGCAGCCCCAGGGAGGCCCCCGCACCACCCACCCCATCCGGTACTGCAACGGCAGGGAGGCCCGGTGTGCCCCGGCCCACGAGGCAAGGAGGTAGCTTCACCGCTGGTGCAGAGCCCTGGTGCACTCCTGAGAGCCCCGCCCAGTTCTGTTCCCATTGGCACCCTGGCCCGGTGGGTCAGCACCGTCCCGGGCTGTGGGCACCGAGTGTATTTGTGAGTGCTTCCTGGACCTGGGTCTGTTGTGAACGCACCAGGCTTTGTCACTAGGCCGCACCGAAGGCCACCGACACACAAGGCAGTAACACCTGCCATGAACTCTGGGCTCAAGCCTACCGGCAGCATTATGACCAGCCAGTGGACAGTTTCCATGGTTCCACCGGGCACGTCTGTTCTGGAAGCTTCTAGAATGGTTCATGGCTATCTGGATGTCACTTAGGAGCCTCTGCAGCAGCCCAGCTGGTCTTGCCCAAGCCAGCTCCCAAGCCCGGAGGCCAGCAGGCACACAGGCACCAGACGGAACTGGAACTGGGGCTTGAATGCCCAGCCTCTCACTCACATCTGGCTTTTTCCACTCTAGGCTGTACTTTCCCACTTGAGCCACTGCTAACTTTTCTGCCCAAGCTGGCTTCAAACTCAATCCTCAGTCCTCAGCCTCCTGAGGAGCTAGGGTAACAGGTGTGAGCCACGGGCGCTCAGCTCAACCGTGTGCGTTGGTGACTGTACGGTGGCGCTCAAGACGTCTTAGCATACACACCGAGACAGCTGACCTTTAATTGGTTTTGTCTGCTTTGGAGGTAGTCTCACTACAGCCCAGGCTGGCCCTCAGGGCTCGGATTACAGGCCTAGTGTTTCCCTCCTCGGTCCCTGAGCACAGCTGGGGTCTGCTCGGCAGAGGAGGCTGGCAGTGGGCGCGGGGCTCTGTTGTGAGGCTGGGCGTGGGCACCCGTGGGGAGGCTAGCCCCACCCTCCGCTCCCAAGGCAGGCATTAGGGTGGTCCACGTGACGGTGGCGCTTAGGGAGTGCTGCCCACAGGAGGGAGGAGCCCCCACCCACAACCGCACCCCACGCACGGCCTGTCATCCGTCCCACGCCCGTGGAGAGTTCCCGTTGCAAGGAGACCCTCAGCCTGTAACATGCCAGGGCCGCCGCCTCCTCCTCCTCTTCCTCCACCTGCCACACGCCCAGGGCCCGTCCTCCACCCGCCACAGGCCCACTGCACCTCCACATTCCTGGAGGATTACACAGGGGATCTACCTCCTGAGGACACGAGAAGGACACGGAGCCCACCCCGGGAGGACACGGGGAGGACATGGAGCCCACCCCGGGAGGACACAGAGCCCACCCTGGGAGGACACGAGGGAGGACACGGAGCCCACCCCGGGAGGACATGGGGAGGACACGGAGCCCACCCCGGGAGGACACAGGAGAGGACATGGAGCCCACCCTGGGAGGACACGGAGTCCACCCTGGGAGGACACGGGAGAGGACACGGAGCCCACCCCGGGAGGACACGGAGCCCACCCTGGGAGGACACGGAGCCCACCCCAGGAGGACACGGAGCCCACCCCGGGAGGACACGGAGTCCACCCTGGGAGGACACGGAGCCCACCCTGGGAGGACACGGGGGAGGACACAGAGCCCACCCTGGGAGGACACGGGAGAGGACACGGAGCCCACCCCGGGAGGACACGGAGCCCACCCCGGGAGGACACGGAGCCCACCCCGGGAGGACACGGAGCCCACCCCGGGAGGACACGGAGCCCACCCTGGGAGGACACGGGAGAGGACACGAGCCCACCCTGGGAGGACACGGGAGAGGACACGGGGAGGACACGGAGCCCACCCCGGGAGGCGGGGCACAGGGACAGACCTCACACCACCCCAGGGCAGGTGTCAGGGATACCATGAGACTTGTTATGAGCTGGCCTGTGTGGCCACAGCTGGAGGTAGAGCTGGTCCTGCCGGGAGGCCCATCAGTCCAGGATGGTCTTAAAGTCCGTGGCCAGTGCTGGGTCAGCAGCGGCCTGCAGGACAGCCAGCGTGGCCTTGGGGAGCTTCTGGCACAGCTGGGTCTGGGCTGCAGCAGAGGGCAGAGCTCAGATTTTTTCCCAAAGAGGCCAGAGTCCTTCAGCCCAGCACCAAGGATGCGCTGGGGCCCAGTGCCAAGATGGACAAGAGACCTCCTAGCCAAGAGAAGCCAGGGACCCGAAAGAATAGCAGTGGACTGCAGGGGTAGGCAAGGGACAGGAAGGCCGGAGCCAAGACGAGGTCGAGCAGCTCCCCTGGGGTGGGGTGGGGTGGGGTGGGGGAGGCGTGGCCCCAGTGGCCCCTTCTGCTCGAGGCGGCTGAGCTGGAGGACAGCCCCCCAGCTGCCTCACCGCCTGGGGCTGCCCGTGTGGCCGCCCTTCCGGTGGGAGTCAATGGCAGGATACCTGCCGGGAAGGGGGGGCTGGGCCATGCGGGAGTGCTCACTTGCACTCACACCTACCTGTCCTGAGTGGTCCCAGGAGACACTTGTAGGTGCCACGGTGACAGGCCAGCTTGAGCAGGAAGGCCCGGAAGCAGAGCCACTGTGCAGCCTCAGAGGGAAAAGGGCCGCAGGCCCCCTTGGATCCTAGTGAGAGCCCTGCGGAGCAAGCTGGGCTGAGGGCTGGGGAGGACCGCGGCTGGGGAAGACCGGGGGCTGAGGGCTGGGGAGGACCGGGGCTGGGAAGCAAGCTGGGCTGAGCCCTGGGGAGCAAACTGGGCTGGGGGCTGGGGAAGACCGGGGCTGGGGAGGACTGGGGCCGGGGAGGACCGGGGCTGGGGGCTGGGAAGCAAGCTGGGCTGAGCCCTGGGGAGCAAGCTGGGCTGAGGGCTGGGGAGGACCGGGGCTGGGGGCCGGGGAGGACCGGGGCTGGGGGCCGGGGAGGACCGGGGCTGGGGGCCGGGGAGGACCGAGCCTGGGGGCCAGGGAGGACCAGGGCTGGGGAGGACCGGGGCTGGGAAGGACCAGGGCTGGGGAGGACCAGGGCTGGGGAGGACCGGGGCTGGGGAGGACCGGGGCTGGGGAGGACCGGGGCTGGGGAGGACCGGGGCTGGGGAGGACCGGGGCTGGGGAGGACCGGGGCTGGGGACCGGGGTACCACCCAGCCTGCCCCCATGCTCTGCACACACCTGTGTTCCGGGCTTTCAGGATGGAGAAGCAGCAGGCCGCCATGTCAGAGATGATGCTCAGGAAGAATAAGGGGTTCCTCCACACACCCTGGTCAAAGGGGAGCTGCAGCACGCAGGCGTGAAACCTGCAGACATGTGCACATGTGTCCACACGCCCCGGTCAAAGGGGAGCTGCAGCACGCAGGCGTGAGACCTGCAGACATGTGCACATGTGTCCACACGCCCCGGTCAAAGGGGAGCTGCAGCACACAGGCGTGAGACCTGCAGATGTGTGCACACGCGTCCACACCCTGGTCAACGGGGAGCTGCAGCACACAGGCGTGAAGCCTGCAGATGGGGTGGGGAGCTCATAGACATGTGCACACACGTCCACACGCCCCGGTCAAAGGGGAGCTGCAGCACACAGGCATGAAGCCTGGAGACGTGTGCACACGCGTCCACACGCCCCAGTCAAAGGGGAGATGGAGCACACAGGCGTGAGACCTGCAGACATGTGCACACGCGTCCACATGCCCTGGTCAAAGGGGAGATGCAGCACACAGGCGTGAGACCTGCAGACATGTGCACACACGTCCACACGCCCCAGTCAAAGGGGAGATGCAGCACACAGGCGTGAGACCTGCAGACATGTGCACACGCGTCCACATGCCCTGGTCAAAGGGGAGATGCAGCACACAGGCGTGAGACCTGCAGACGTGTGCACACACATCCACACGCCCCGGTCAAAGGGGAGCTGCAGCACACAGGCGTGAAGCCTGCAGATGAGGCGGGGAGCTCATCATGTGTGTGCACTGCTTTAGGTAACATGCAAACAATGGCGTGTGCACAAGTGCTGCACGCTGTACTCTGCAGCATATGTAGTCCATCACCAGCTCTGGTGTGCTGCACAGGGACCCTGTCCATACTCCTGACCCTCTGGAACTTGACAAGCCAGCAAGCACGCAGCCTCGTGGCGCTGCCCAGTGGGAAGGGTCCTACTTGCCACACAGGACAGAGCCCAGAAGCGTTCCTGACAAACGCCAGCCAGGCATCAGCGCTCACCTGTAACCCTAGCTACTCAGCAGACTGAGATTGGAGGATCATGGTTTGAAGCCAGCCTGAGATTTTTTTTTCTGGGGGAGGGGAGGTAGTCCTGGGACTTTGAAATCAGGGCTCCAGGCTGTCCCCGAGCATGACTCCACCACTTTGGCCATAGCTCTACTTTGGCTTATTTGTGCTTAACTAGAGATAAAGAGTCTCAAAGTTTCCTTCCGGGTCTAGCAGTGAAGTAAGGAGGCTGAGCCTAAATCATTTCTTACAGACAGGTGGGAGTTGGGGGCTGTCCACCCAGCTCCCAGGCCTGGAGATGAGACAAGCCATCCTTCAAAATGCAGATGCCCCGTACCAGGTAAGCCAGGAGAGTTCTGACTCATAGACGCAGACGATACCTTCCCGGTGGGGAAGGGTGACCCCCCCTTCTCAGGTGATGGGTGGGGAGATGGGTAGGTGGGCACTTGGCCGATAGGTTGCTGAACCCGTCAGTCTGGGGCCTGGGACTGTTCTGTGACCCGGCCCTGTACCCCGACCTTATTTAGGCCTGGACCAGCCTAGCTGCCCAGTCGCCATGCTATGTCTCTGATCCTGTCCCAAGTTCCGCCCTTGTCTTGTGTCTCTCCATGTTCATGTCCTGCGTCCTGCCTCCTGGCTGTCTTCCACATGTCTCCATGATCACCTCCTGTGTCCTGTTTCCCTGTTCGTCTTCCGTGTGTCTCTGTGATCGCATCCTGCGTCCTGTTTCCCTGTTCATCTTCCATGTGTCTCTGTGATCGTGTCCCGTGTCCTGTCCCCTGGCTCGTCTTCCATGTCTCCGTGATCGCATCCTGCGTCCTGTTTCCCTGTTCATCTTCCATGTGTCTCCGTGATCGCATCCTGCGTCCTGTTTCCCTGTTCATCTTCCATGTGTCTCTGTGATCGTGTCCCGTGTCCTGTCTCCCAGCTCATCTTCCGTGTGTCTCCGTGATCGTGTCCCATGTCCTGTCCCCTGGCTCGTCTTCCATGTCTCCGTGATCATGTCCTATGTCCTATTTCCCTGTTCATCTTCCGTGTGTCTCCGTGATCGTGTCCCGTGTCCCCTGGCTCGTCTTCCGTGTCTCCGTGATCGCATCCTGTGTCCTGTCTCCCAGCTCATCTTCCATGTGTCTCCGTGATCGTGTCCCGTGTCCTGTCCCCTGGCTCGTCTTCCGTGTCTCCGTGATCGCATCCTGTGTCCTGTTTCCCTGTTCGTCTTCT